AAAAAAAAAAGTTTCTTCATGTATGTATCCTTTGGTCTGCAGCAAGAGCTTAAACAGTCACAGAGGAGATGCCAGCAGGTCATAAAGGAGCGCGAGACAGAGCTACAGGATCTGAGACACGCCGTAATCTCTCTCAGGGTGAGTCTATTACTGACAGGAGGTGGAAAATCTTAATGGACATGTGGGATAGTGTGGGTCAACGTATGATCCTTCATTAGTAAGAGACCCAGAGAGGTTCTTGGACTCATCACTTGTCTGGTTCTGTATGTTGTCTAACAGAGCTCTGCCCAGGCAGCAGTGGAAGAGACAGAGAAGATCTTCAGTGAGCTGATTCAGTCCATTGAGGCACTGTGTTTTGAGGTGACAGAGATGATCAAAGCAAAGGAGCAGATGGAATTAGACGAGGCACATGGGTTTATGGAGAAACTAGAGCAGGAGATTGCAGAGTTCAAGAGGAGAGATGCTGAATACAACATGCTTGCACACCTTGATGATAAAACTCAGTTCCTGAAGGTAACGTCAGTGCTTCTGGGCACCAAAGTACATGTCATTTGTGATTTTGGTCTAAGAGAGTTTATTTCATTAAATTCCTCAGAGTTATGAAACACTGTGTAGTCAGCCGGAGTTGGTGACCTCTCCTGCAGTTCTAGTCAATCCGGACTTCTCTTTTGAGATGGCGTCAAGAAAACTCACATATCTGAGTGAGGACATTAAAGATCTGTGCCAGAAGAAATTGGAGAAATTATCAAAAAAAGGTAAGTCATCATATGAATATGTTTGGAATAGCATGCTAACTAAAAATTTCAGTGTAAAATGACCGTATATTCCAGGTTAATAATTACATTACTTTAATAGTAATTTCACAGTAGGACTTTTCTTGTGTCCAACTGGTTAATTAAAGCTTTATAAAGTGAATTCACAGTAAACAAGAGCTGTAAATTACTGTTGTTAGCAGCATTCTGCTGTTGATTCGCAGTAATTCGGCAGAAAATAACCCAGCATGCATTTATTCATTTAGTCATTTTTTGACTACAGATTATAACTTTCTTAATGTATTCTTAATTTACGTAATACTGTAAATTATTTGCTTTTTACACTGATTGTGTATACAAAGCATTGCACAATCAGGCTCCTGAGTATATAAAAGACATGCTGTCTCCTTACCAATCTCAACGTCATCTGCGCTCTTCTCAGAATTTGCTCTTAACTGTTCCACGGTCTCGTTTAAGGCGTAGTGGAGATCACCTTTTCAGTTGCAGCTCCTACACTTTGGAATGCCTTGCCACTATTCATAAAGTCTTCGTCAACTATGGACATTTTTAAAAGGAACTTAAAGACTTTATTTCATCAGGCTTTTGCCGTTTGAGTGGGTGTGTTTAATGTGAGTGATTTCGCTGTACGATTTATATTGGTGGCATGCTGTATTGGTTTTGTATGTTTGTAATGTTATTTTTTAGAGTTTTAATTATCTCTGTGCAGCACTTTAGTCCATTCTTATGGTTTTGAAAGTGCTTTATAAATAAAAAATTGAGTTGAGTAAATTCGTGGTTTCAAGATTTCAATGTGATCAGTGAATCAGAATCTGATACGTCATTATTGGATAATATTGCCAGTAGTATTTTTTATTTTACAAAATTAAATGATAAACCATTGAATTAAAAACTCAGTAATCAATAGTTCAATAAAACAAAGAAAAATAATCCTAATTTCCAAGATGTCAAATGGAAACCACTCACATGTGAGGAGGTCATGTGATAATGTTTACTATATCGTTAACATAATTTAAAATGCAAATATTTATTTTAGGTTTTCTAATGTTGCATACTCTTGTTTGAAATGTGTATGAAGTGTTTCACTTTCTATTTTTAAAGAACTGTCAGAATTCATACAGTATGCAATAAATACTTGCAAGTATTCCAAACACTATTAAACATTAAAAGAAATTGAAATAAATTAAAGTAAAATAAGTATGAATATTAAAAATGCCTGCACTGTTTATATTTTATCTTATTAGTGACAAACCTGAAGTTTATTCCTACCCCTGAACCTAAAATCAGAGAGCAGTTTTTGGAATGTGAGTAACACACACACACATGCAAACAATACAATCGACAACAGAATTACTGTGTATGTTAATCCATGTCTTGTGTCTCTGGATTTCAGATTCGGGTCCCCTGACTCTAGACCTGAACACGGCTCACAGAAACCTCAGTGTTTCCTCAGAGACTGGAGAGGTGACGTGCAGCAAAACCTCTCTGTCTGTTCCTGACCACCCAGAGAGGTTTGACAGCTATTACCAGGTCCTGTGCAGGGAGAGCGTGTCCGGCCGATGTTACTTCGAGGCAGAGTGGAGCGGGAAGGGTCCCGTGCACATTGCAGTGTCCTATGAGGACATCAGCAGGAAAGGAAAGAGCACCCTGTGTGCATTTGGACAAAACGCCCAGTCCTGGAGTCTGGTGTGCTCTGAGGATATGTATGCATTCTGGCACAATGGACGGGAAACTAAGATTTCCAAAATGCAGTGGGCTCGCAGAACTGGCGTTTATGTCGATTTCTCTGCAGGGATTTTGGCGTTTTACAGCATCACAGACTCAATGAATCTCATCCACATCATTCGGACTACATTTACTCAACCGCTCTATCCTAGCTTCAGGATTAACACCGGGTCTAGTATGAGACTTTGTTATCCACTTTAGTGGCATGAAATGGAGTGTATTCAGTTCCTGAGCAGTTATTAGAAATGTATGAAGTATTAGAGAATGGGTAATACTTTACAATAAGGTTCCATTGGTTAACATTAGTTAATTACATTAGTTCACATCAACTAACAATAAAAAATGCTTCTAAAGCGTATAAGTCTTAGTTAATGTTAATTTCATCAATTACTAATATAATATAAAATATTGTATCTGTTAAAATTATTTAATGGCCTGAGCTAACATGAACTAACAATTAACAGCTGTATTTTTATATTTGTATTTGTATATATCTGTATTTTAACGTAATAAATACTGTAACAAATGCTCATTTTAGTTAATGTTGTTAACTAATGGGACCTTATTGTAAAGTTTCACATAAAGGACCAACACACTCTCATTGCAATTCGTAATTATTTTTGGTTTTGGCTAATTGGTGGCTAATTCATTTGTATGTTTTCATATGATCTGCTTATGTCCCACTGATAGGGTTGGGGGCAGACCTTCATGGTTAGGTTAGTTTTTTTTTTTTTTATCACGTGTTTCTGTACATATCACAACATACAAATTCATACTATATCGCCACCATGTAAAGCAGTTACATTTTCTCTGTGAATGTTAGATTTGGCTGGTTGTGCTAACTGTAAATATGTTTTCTGGAACCTGGTATAGATAAAATACAATGATCAATTTTTTTTTTTTTTTGGTATCTCTTAATATTTTTGTATTCACCACCTCATCACTCAAAAATAAAGGGGGTTTTTGCAGCAATGCCATTAGAGAACCATTTTTGGTTCTCCAAACAACCTTTCAGTGAACAGATCTTAAAAGAACATTTATTTCCCCAAATCTAAAGAACCTTTTGTTCAGTGGAATGTTAAAGGTTCTTCATGGAACCATCAATTCCAATAAAGAACCTTAATTTCAAGAGCGTAACCCTCACTGGTGGTCATAAATAGTGCGGTTAAATATCAGTCACAAACTGATGAATTTACCAATCATTTTCTGGAACCAGAACTATCTGTTTTATAAAATAAGTGCACTTATATTTACTAAATGTTCTTATTTTAATGCTTTTGTAGTTGTTTGTAAATATATATTTGAATTATATGCCGGTAAAATATTTAACTCCAGTTCCAGAGTCTCCTTGACATTTAACATTTACAGTACGAACCTGTTAATGAACAAAAAACATAAGAATCTTAACACAATTTTAAAATTTATTTGAAAAAAAAAAACATTCAACCCATTTCCATACATTTCACAGCAGAACTGCAACAGCTTTACATTCATCACAAATTCAGACATTAGTCTTCATTCTTGAAGGCAATGTGTAATTTCTGCACAAATGTAATTGCAAAAATAACATTGCCTATTAATAATTAATAAGATTGCCCAAACATCCCTAATCTGTTACTGGTCAAACAGACAAATAGATAGTCATTCACACAATAGTTGAACCAATGTTGCTGTGTCAGGCTGGTTGCTTTTCACATTAACTTTCACTGTGCTGTTTAATATAAAAAAGACATACTTCAGCTTTACTTAAAGTGATGCAGTATACATTGCAATTTCCTTTTATTCAGGCAGAAAACCTGATAATGCTAAATTTTCTTCATCTACTACTTCATTTGCATACAGGAATGAAATTTCAGCTAAAAATTCATGGAACTTTAATAACACAGTATTAAGCACAAATCTATGCATTTCATTCTATTGACCATATGTTTTACTAGATTATATTTTAAGTTAAATATAGTAAACATAACCATTAACAGAGGGTCCGTAGCTGCCGGTTCATTTGCATTGATAAAATATAGTCAATCCTCAAATACAGGGACAAACCCATAGCCTCACCAGCATCTTAATGGACACAGTCATAACAGTATTAAAACTGAAAGATATCTCTATGCAAGGCACTGTACTGTAACTGATATGAAGATACAAAAATATGATGGCCGGACAGCAGATTGTGTAAGGCGACTGAAAACAGAAGCTACATTCCAAAGTAAGGTGTCGCCATTATAACAATAGTGCTTTATATCTGAATACACACAATTTTATATGACTAACACATTAGTTAAGCACATCACATGTGTTTGACCAATGGCATGACTCTGCAACACACAATGTGTCATGTACACCCAGGAAGTCCGGTTTGTTGTTGCTTAACATCTGCAAAAGGCACAGTGTGCAAAAGCGGTCAAACAGGACATAAACTGGTTCGTGTTGAATCTCTCACAGCAAAGGTCAACTTGATGGATTCAGATAGAGCACATCTGTAAATGTGTCTTACCAGCATATTTGCCACAATTTAAAATATTAAACTTAATTCATAACACAGGCTGACATAACTATATGTGCAAAAGTTTGGGGTCGGTAAGGTTTTTAATGTTTTTTGTTTTAATGTTTTATCTTATGCTTAATAATGCTGCATTTATTTGATTTAAAAATGCAATTAAAAAATAAATATCTAAAATAAATGTATTCTCTTTTTATATATTTAAAAATGTAATTTATTCCTGTGAAGGCAAAGCCGAAGGATTCAGTGTCACATGATCCTACAGAAATAATTTTAATATGCTGATTTGGTGCTAAAAAAAAATCTTATCCATGTTGAAAGGAACTGTATTATTGAAAAAGTATTTTAGTGGAAACTGACAAAATTCTTCCAGAATTCTTTGATGAATAGAAAGTTCAAAAGAGCAGCATTTGTTTCAAACAGAAATCTTTTGTAACATTATAAATGCCACTTTGATCAATTGTGTCCTTGCTGAATAAAAACACTAATTTCTTAAAGAAAAAAAAACTTACTGACCACAAATTTCTGAACAGAAATATAGTATGAATAACAGTAGTAGCGTAAATAATATATATATATATATAAACACATTTAATATTAATTTTATACTTAATTAAAACAATTTTATATTCTAATGTTTTATATATTAGGCACATATTAGACTATATTAGCTCTGAGTGGACAGTCACAGCTGTATCCAGTGCACTGATTAAATACTATATGCACTGTTAATCAGTATAAAAAAAAGAATATGTGTTTGTGAGTCATTAAAAAATACTTGTATAACATGCACAATCACATTCTGTGGTGCAACTGGTGCTGGGTGCATTTAATTTAAGCTCCATTTCAACAAACAGCAACAGAATTCTAAATCTACAGCCAGATGAGAGCATAATTTGCATATTCATCCCTGTTAAAATGTGGAAGTGTACTTATAATGAGAGATTGTGCGCGAACATGTTGATACATTCAGACCCATTCCAGGAGAACAGGGTGAGGCTGGCCGTTGAAACAGAGAAATCAAATAATTTGACTAATTTGTGACAGAGTGAGGTTGCCTTTGTTGAGAAAACAGAAAGTATGTGCCATAATTTCTAGAATGTCAAGAAAAGTTTTGAAAATGCCCCTTCCACTTCCCATTTTTGTTCATTTATACTCGCATATCAGTTTTTCCTCATTCCTCAACCATGCAAAGTGTAACATCTTATAATTTCAATATGCACAGCCATTATCTGTAACATTTACAAAAAAATCGTATCTATATCTTATCTATAAAAATCTCTATAAATCATATATCTAAACTAAAACTAGCACAACAAAGATTAAAAAAGACAATCCGTAACAATAATGACCAGATTTGTCAGGAGGTAATCCAGTATCTGAGAGCAGGTCATCGCTGCCGGAGTCACACAGACGTTAACCAAGGGTTTGCATTGCATTGTGGAAGTATAACTCCACTATGTTGCAGGAAGGTCATCAGAGGGTGGTGAGGTTTTCTGCCAGGTAATATAGGCTGTATCCATTACATACGATACAGCAGAGGTTACAAAGGGAGGACAGCAGGTGATACAGCCACAGCCGACCACTCAGCTTTTTATACTTGGGATCTGTCTGGCAGAGCTTGGCATATGCTTCCCGATTGGATGAGAGTCCGATGTCCTGACCCAATCCACAGGCCTGCTCAATCAGGTGCATGTCTGCCATGATTCCCGAGGTCATCTGACCAAACCACTGGGCATTCACTGCCGCCACAGTCACACAGATGAAAAAAATGAAGATCTGGGGGAAAAAACAGAAAGCTGGTGGAATCAAGAGAGTCTGTTACCTTACATAAATATTAAAAGGTTAGTTCACAAGTATAGGATATAGGATATACTATAGCTTTGTGTGAGAAACAGTTCACCTAATAGTTAATCTAAAAATTTGCTGAAAATGTACTCACACTCAGGCCGTCCAAGATGTAGTTGAGTTTGTTTCTTTCTCGGAACAGATTTGGAGAAATTAAGCATTACATCACTTGCTCACCAATGGATCCTCTGCAGTGAATGGGTGCCGTCAGAATGAGAGACCAAACATCTGATTTAAAACATCACAATAATCCACAAGTAATCCACACCACTCCAAATAGCGTTGTCCTCTCATATCAAAATCCACTAACATATTAATTTAAAACTGTTTTGGCTTGTAAACGGTGCTTGATCTGTGCATATTTCTCTCCTGATTCAGACGAGGCAACTTTTTCACTGGAGAAAGCAAGATTATGGATAGAGGACTCATATTTTGGCTGGAAGCAATGGTTTGAAGTTAAAAATGTCTTAATGATGAATTTGTTTCTTACAAACATGCAGCTTTTCACTGCACAATACATTAATTGATAGACTAGAGTAGTGTGGATTATTGTGATGTTTTTATCAGCTGTTAGGACTCTCATTCTGACGGCACCCATTCACTGCAGAGGACCCATTGGTGAGCAAGTAATGTAATGCTACATTTCTCCAAATCTGTTCCAATGAAGTAACAAACTCATTTACATCTTGGACAGCCTGAGAATGAGTACATTTTCAGCCAATTTTCATTTTTAGGTGAACTATTCCTATAATGTGCACATTCATGAGAGAACTAGAAATGCTCAATTCATGAATAAATCTTTCTTTTGAATCTGATTTTAGTCAGAGAATGAGTTGATCCAACAAAACCACTGATTTATTCATAATTCAGACTGATCCAGTCCTCAAGTTCAATCCAAAGATTCAAAGATTCAGTCACACTGGTTTTCAGCTCACCTAAAGCTAAAGGAATTGTCAGATAATAATAAAAATTTGGAG